ACGAAAAACAGCAGGAATTAAGTTTAACACCTAATAAATAAAAGTAAAAACTGTGATTCAACACAATCGAATTAAATCTTTGGCGATGTTTTTTTTGTTTCCCCCATCATTATGCTCAAAATTTTGTAACGATGAACATGTGAAAGGTAAAGAAAAGAATGGACGCAATAAGTATCGAAAAATCGCGCAAAGGATTGAGGAGTAGTTTCCGGTTACTTTGTGCAAAACTGTCGTCGATATGAAAGACTGAATCGCAAAACAAGGATATCTGATAAAAACGCTGCGGGATGCTGGAAGTGAGGCGAAGAAGCTCAAGTCAATGAGAAGCTATATATCCTTTTGTGCTGCGCCTTCCTCGTGGAATTCAATGGATCGTCCATTGAAGGAAAAGTCGGTCAACGAAACACAGCTCAGGCAGTAAGTTCGCCATGAAATGAGCTTTTATTGAAATGGAAACAAGCGTGACGATACATTCTGAAATCGGGACAGTTGTAGGAAACGAAGCCCCTTCGTAGCCAGTATTTTTCGATCAACTTCTGTTGTATCGTACCAACTTAGAATCGATCACGCATCCAAAAAGGATACGGGTTTGCTGAAGTATCTAAAAATTAATTTAGCCAGATATAAATCTGCAGAAAATGATTTTGTTGGACAAAATAATTCTATAAAATGCTTAAACCTTGATGCCAATGCTACAAAAAGTTTTAATATTCTACCAACCAGCTTGATCGTCCTACAAAATTACTTTGATGATCCAAACAAAACTATTTTCAGATTTGTAACTAGCTAAATTTTCAGAGATTTTAGCAAAACCGTTCTTCTTATCACACATCGATTGGTTGTTCTGCAAAAATCTAGTACATACAACACTAATAACAAATTTTTAATTGAAAGTTCATTCTTTCCCCGAAATTATTACGTTCTATCTACAAGTTAAATAGTTTCCCCATATATAAAACATATATTAATTTTTTATTAGAGTTAAAAACCGCCTCTCGACACAAATACCTTCCTAAGTAATAATAGTATAATAATAGTATAGTTAAACTTCTCCCAAAATATGATGAAAAGTTGAAGGCAGCAGATCCGTCGTCAACAATTATTGGACTCGCGATAAACCGCCGACGAACCGCAGGGAAAAGCCAAAATTGTTTCCCCGCTCGTTCTATCGTCGTTTTCGAGTTTGGAGATTCATTCCTCGATGACGAGAGAGTTTACCGCTCGGTTCCAGCAATATTCATTGGGACGCTCGACGAATTCAATTTTATAGCAACGATTTGAATGCAGATCGCTTTGGCAAGAGCTTTGGGAATATGATACACGATGTAATACTAGCTAACATTCTACAATAAAACATCAATAAAAATATATATGGGGAAGTCAATTTTTTTCGCAATTAAATTCTAAAATATTAAATTTGGTAAATAGACAGATATATAAAATCAAAAGTTGGTGAATCCAAACATTGTTGGTTAATTGGATAAACTTTGTTCCGTCAAGCCTCATTAATAAAGGAAGCCTTCCGAATGTCGTTGACCGGCAAAATCGGACAAGTATCGCGGAGCAGGGTATGTGATCGATCGATTAGTCGCATGATCGGCCGAGCAGTGACCGGAAAGCATCAGAGACAATGAGGAAGTGATGGAGGTGTGGCTCACCTAGACCCATCTTGCGCTTGAGCTTCTTGAGCACTTTCATCTTGCTGCGCAACGGTGCCAGGATGTTGTTGTCGCCGCTGTTGTTGTGCTGCGGCGACGCGCTTGGCGGTGCGTGCTTGCCGTGATGGTGATGATGATGGTGATGATGATGATGCTGATGGTGGTGGTGGTGATACGGCTCGTAAGGTTGCTGCTGTTGCTGCTGCTGCTGCTGCTGCTGCGACTGTTGCACGCTCGCGCCGGAACTGCCGACGTGGCTGCAGCAGTGACAGGGGTGGCTGCTTTTGCTGCCCTTGATCGCACACTCTCCGGACACCCCCATAAATGTGGCCGTACTGCTCTCGCGAGTCAGGCGCGAAAAACCGCGACTACGGGGGTGTAGATGAAGACTGGAGGACTATAGGGGAGCAAACGGCGCGGAATCGATATACGAACGATCTAATTCCGATGATCTCACTGACGATCGCACTTTCGGATCACTTGATCGCGAAGACAAGATTTACTCCCTCAGCTTCTCTTTCACAACACTACGCTCGGTCGTCAAAGTCGTGAAACTACCCTAAACGAAAACGTTAACGTGAAGAAAATCTGATGGAGAAAACGACCGAGACATGAAAATTAAACGTGACTCCGTAATCCTTTCCCGTTCAGATTGTCGTTTATTCGGCGATGTGTCTAACGGGTGGACGTCGCGATCACTGCGCAAACCTCAAACCCAAGACAGAGAGAAAGAGAGAGAGAGAAAAGGGACTTGCGAACAAGACCGCGTGTCACGGCGGCGAATGGGGCGATCTAGCACGTAGATCGCAGATCGCCTGCGTGCCCCGTCGAGCGCCCTGGGACGACTGACTGTTTTCTGTCGTGGAGCGCGAGAGTATTGCCGCAACGCGCGCGAGCCGGCGCCCAATGAAACCGGGCGGATCCCCACCGTTCCCGGAGATGGAGGTGCATGGAGGGGTAGACTGGCACCTGGTGGACAGCTGCCCTTTACCTGGCCGCGATGCACCCGGCCACCCCAACGCACGAGACCGGGGATACATCGCCGTCCAGAGAGTTATAGGGTATATACCAAGCGGCTGAAAGAGAGGACTATACGACTCCTCTCCATTAATTTCGACCTCTAGACTAGGCCGTCAAAGTTGGTTCGCACGATTCTCTTTTCACGTGAGATTCTAGGAACACAATTCCATTCTAATGACCGAAACTGTCGTTTCACAATGAGAATGATTAGTGAAAAAAATCTCCAATTGTGTAATAATTTAATCGAAAAAGCCTTCTGAGAATATTATCGTTCGATTGGTAACTTAAAACGTGAAAATGAGGCGGCTGTAACTTTACAAAGAATTGATAAATTACTTCTATCGAATCGAGTAGGAATAAATCCACGAGCGCGCGCTGCAACGTTTTGGTTCCCGACTGGGAAATGCGCGCAGCTCGAAGCGTATCGAGAGGAAGATCGTGTTTCCATGGGATTCAAGATGCGCCTCTCATCCCATGACGACGCGGACCAAGATCGCCGCGCGAACTACAAATTACATAATAACAGATAAAAAAAGGAAGAAAAATGATATTCGTGGCGCACGACGGCGTCACATACGAAGAAACTTTATACAGGTACCCATATCCCTTTAATCCGTCACGCGCGAAGACCACAAAATTCGTTCAATCCCTTGCGTCCGATATTTCATTTAATTTCCATGCGGGCACTTTCAAAAACGATGCAGGAGTAATGTATTGGTATAAGAGAGGATTTTTAATCACGATTAAATTAAAGGCGGTTGCATTATACAAGAAAATATATATCAAAAGGGAAGAGCGCGATCTCCTCCAGGAGAGATGAACTAGCTTTTTCCGCCGGATAAAATTCAATTTGCGGGAAGGAGACACCAAATCGACTTACGCGCGAAAAGAAACATCATTATGGCCTGAGTGAAGGGGAGAGAGTTATTGGATCTGTATATCGAGTTGAGATGAAATCGAAGTCTCGCCAATCGATACAACGGATACTCGCGAGAATTCGATGCTTTTCATTTCCGACATGATAGAAACTTTAATAGCATAAATGGAACTAATATAATGGCAAATTTAATTTGATGAATTAATGCGTATATTAAAATACACTAATTTAATCTAATGTAAAAGCTTATTGAAAAAAATGATTGGCTGCTGCAGCAAATTACATGATAAAATATGGCATAGCATTTTTAATTGGTTGCAGCAGTCAATTTTTGGTTGCATTAGCCTATCGGAATCCTATACTGACATTGCAGATAGGCTAACGCAATCAAAAATTGGCTGCTGCAACCAATTAAAAATACTATGCCATATTTTACCACCTAATTTGTTGCAACAGCCAATCTTTTTTTTCAGTATAGATTAAAATACTGATCTAATTAAGTGTAAAAGTAAAATGCAAATACTTCAAAATATAAAGTACGTATTTTACCAAACAATACAATAAAGTGTATTGAAGGTTTTAGTTACTTGTTTTTTTTTTATTTATATGAAATTCATATCTTTACATCAATTTGTTTTATGTGCATTATAAGGAGGTCCAACCGAATTCGCTATAAAAGTCGATTAGTATTAAAGAGGGAGAGGAAAAAGAACAACTACAATGAAAACACTTGCTAATACATGTTGGCGCAACCCCTTCATATCGATGACCTTGTTCGCAATTCTCCCCCCGTTTGCTTTTGTATGTCGGTTACGACGCTAAATGACTCGTATTCACAGAGACCCCATCGTCCGATAACTCAAATTTCGCCGACAGGTTGCGGCATTCGTGCAAGGTGCATCCGATGTGCAATATTATGCACCCTTGCGAAGTACCTACGGTGCCGTTACAACAGTTTGGAAAAAACCGCTGCTACTTTATCTGCCCTATCGATTTCGCGCCTATAAAAGAATTATGCAACCGCGTCAAAAAGGAGAGAGAAATATAACTGTTCGTGAAACAATGACCCTCGACAACACAATGTCACTTTGTCAGCCATTGTTCCAACCGTTAACGGGATATAGTCAGACGTCACTGGACGCGACATTAGTTTCCATTTACATCAACACTCAAATAATTCTCATTCGTTACGTCACAACGCAGTTGAATTCCTTTTCATTCTGACAAGTGAGATTCAACTGAGTTTTTACCTACAATCTGCACAAGCTCGAGACGTGCTTTCCTTATAGTCTTGTTAACTCACATTAAAAGTGAGATTATAATCTTGTGTTATTACGCGATAACTTTGTCATCAAAGTAAGCAAGCGGTGATGTCATTAGCCGAGTGTAAAATACTCATGTAACTTTAGACTGAGTATCACTTGCATGAAAACAGAAAGCAACTATTGTTTTCTGTAAGGCGCGAATGCGCTCGGTACGAGTAAAGAAGCGCAAATATGCGAAAGTCAAATTAAAACGGATCTACTCGACCGCGCGGCTCTCGAAATGAAAAGGCGTTTGTCACGCTATGCGGATTTCCTCTCGCTCTTGTGTGTGCATGTCGCGAGCATTTTCATTCACGGCGGGGGGTAGGAAACGAGTCGGCATTCTCTCTCTCATGTACGGATGGGAAATATGCCCACGGCACCGTGGCCGCGGCTTCCTTTCGCACATCCTTTTCGTCGGTTTGTTTTGTACTCGACCGTCTCTCTTGCATAAACGATTGCGCGCGACAGTAGCAACGGGCGCCAATTGTCCGCCTTCATTCATCGAAATTCAATAATGTACAATAGATAGACGCCGGAAAGCTTCTCGAGATGCGGAAGGGCGTTCATTTCAAATACACGGAAACAATCATTTCGCGTTGTAATAATTTTATGTAATTGTACGTCGGAGATAATAATAAAATATAGACAGCTTCGTATTTCTTCTATGCGATAAACAGTTCTCTCGTAATGAACGCGACAAGTAACTCGAGCCTTTCATTCCCGTGAGCGATTTAACGATTTAATTATACAACGCAGCAGTTCCGTAAGAGAGAATAATGACGGGACGTCACAGACACGTCCGAAAGTACGCTTCTTACATCGCCACCTCAATTAATTCCCCACTCGTCTCTCATTATATCCCCACTGTACGCGGGCGCGCATTGTTACTTGCACACGCGCGCGCACGCATGCGGCCCATATGTGGCTATTTATATGCACGCGTGGCCGCGTGCACGCACGCACGCACGCACGCGCGCGCGCGCGCGCGACGCGACCACGTCCTTTCTTCGCCGCGTCGCTATACCGTGATGATAATAATACACCTCGTTGACCGCAAACATAGACACGTGAATTTCAGAATGCGAGTGCAAAGGAAAGTCCTTTGCCGAAAACACTTTCGGGGAAAAAAAATCTGACAGACTTGACTTTTCCATCCTTTGGAACTCTCTAAATCTGAATCAGTGAATAGGCACTAATTACCCAGTGGAATACTTGGCACTGGATAATTAGTGAAGTTCAACTAAAAAAGGAAGAATGTTTGAGCATTGTATAATTAAAATACTGATATTTGCGTGTTAATTTCAATCTTCTAATACTACATTCATTGAATTTATAAAACGAGATTAGTTGGATCACGTAATAAAGATTAGATAGGTTAGGGATCTCACATTTCATTCACTGATTATCATCAGGGGAATACTTGACACTAATATCAGTGATTATCCACTGATTCAAATTTAGAGAAAAGGAAATGTGTATCTTGTCGACATTTATCGCAAAATTTAATGTCTTGGATTTGTGCGAATAAACTTTTACAGGATGAAAGTCACTATAATGGCTAAAATATGTCATAACTTGAGCAATATGGAAAGAATAGTTTTGTTAAATTATCTAATAAAAATTTTGCTAGGTATAGATCTGAAAATAATTTTAATAGTCCAACAAAATTATTTTCAGATTTATATCTAGCAAAATTTTAGGTCTTTTATCAAAACCGTTCTTTACGTGAAAGAGTACAATAAAATGATACATTAAACAAATCCTACTCAAGGAAGAGCTGTAAAATTTAAAAAATAGATTCACGCCTTTAAAGATTAAATAGTTGGATAAAAATACGGAATATATCTTTGAACATTTAATTTGAAATTTATCGAGATAAAATATTTTTGTATAAGTGGAGTATTTTTTTCTCTCCTTTACTCCAGGGATTTTCAACGCCAGTGAATCGACGTAGCTCACGTGCCCTCTGCGATCTCGTGGAGGCGAACGTGAAGCCTCGCGAATCCGGCCATAGCCTCGAGGAAACGGAAACACGCCTCGGTAGCTCACTCACCGCCTTCACGGAACTTAAAATCCGACCGGCGATACGTTTTGGAGAACGCTCAGAGAAATACACAATGAACAATTTACTCGGCGTTTCTCTCTCCCTCTCTCTCTCTCTTTTTCTAAACTTAGCATGAAAATAAGATTTAATATTTACAGACAAAAAATATGCTTCTTTACTCTCTAAATCTGAATCAGTGGATAGTCACTGATATCCAAGTATGCTACTGGTAATCAGTAAATTAAATGTGAGATCCCTAACCTAGTTAATCTTTATTATATGATCTAACTAACCTTGTTTTAGTGCTTAAATTCAATGAATATGGAAAATTGAAATGAACGTGCAAATATCAGTATTTTAGTTAAATAATGCTCAAACATTGTTCCTTTTTTAGTTGGACTTCACTGATTATCAGTGCCAAGTATTCCACTGGGTAATTAGTGACTATTCACTGATTCAGATTTAGAGAGTATTATTTTCATAAGTTTCATAAAAGCGTGTCTTTTTGTATTCTCCAAAGCAGGATTCTAATTATTGGGTTCCCTCTTTTATTTTCCAATCGTGCTGCACTGAAAAAAAAATGTTTTGTATAATTT